GGTTGAAGGAGACCTGCCTCCCCAGCAAGCAAAGCAGGACTCAGCCCACCCCCAGCACAGATCCTGACCTCCACCACTTGAGGGCTGACCCTTTGCATGTGCTTCTATGTACCTGCAAGGATAAAAAGATGACTTCCTTTTCAGAAGTAACTGGTGTGCACCAGCCTCAACATCAGGCAGGAGAAGGGGCAATGGGACAAACATTGCTTCCAAGCAACAATTTAAATTGATTTTAATGACATCTCCTAGTCTTCCTTAATGTAAGCCAAACCATTTCAGTTATTTCATGATTGTACTTTCAACTGCACTTTAACCATATTTTCCTAAGAATGAACGTTATGCAACACTGCCTGAAAGGCATAAATAAGGATTTTCTTCCCTTTTCCCACATCACAGTTAAGTCATTGTGTAAAAGTTGTTAAAATTCAGGAAATTCCTGGCTCTTGATCATGTTCTGCTGACAATCAGGCGCAAGCTGACTCCATAGGCCATGAATGAGTCTTGCTCATGACAAGAACTGGTTGTCTTCCTGTGCAGAATGTCCTCCCTTCCCCAATGTTCCCCCTGTACCCTAGCTATCCCTCACAGCCCAGCCCCACACTCCAGAGCTGAGTAGACAGCGCTGACCCAGACACTGCAGCTCCCACCATCTGCGCCACTCACACTGCATGTACTTTCTGCCTTTTTTCCATAGTGGTTTGTGCCTGTGCCTGATTACAATTTAAGACTGGTAGCTTCTGGCAGCTGTAGAAGCACTTAGCCACCATGGTGTCCTGTTTCTGAAAAGTGCTGACAGTATGTTAACTGAATGACTGAATGCATTAATAAATGCACTGGCCTAAGTGACAAACAGTCCTGTAATGAAGCAAATATTCTCTCTGCTGTCTTTCAGATTCTCCAGTGTTCAAAGAAATATATATATATATATCTTCCTTCCCTGAAGAAAGTGTATATATTTTGTGTATCCAGTTTTGACAGAACCAAAGTTTACGTTTAGAATAATGTAAATTTTCATCATATATTGCTAATTTCTTATTTAAAAGAACATATCTGAAAAAAGGAGAAGGCTATATGGTATAGTGGGTGCTCAGTAAATGTCTTGAGTGACTGAATAAATGAGGGCCTGAGTGGTGGTAACAGAAAACTGGATAAAAATAGGAACAGAAACAGGAGTAGAAAAAGTATAGACACACAGGACATTTAGAAAAGAAGTAGAAATAAAGGTAGGGGAGGGAGAAAGGAGACCCAAGTCTAAGTTCTAAGTCAGCAGTTCTGGGTTTACCACAAACTTGTATGTGACAATTTCATAAATAGAGAGGCAAGGCAGTTGCAGGAGAAGAGAATTGGCTTGGAAGAGAAAGAGCTGGATTCTGACATACACTCAGTCACTGTGTGACCTTGAACAAGTGACTCAACCTCTCTGAGCTTCACTATTTTTTTAAAGATTTTATTTATCTTTAGAGGGGAAGGGAAGGAGAGAGGGAGAGAAACATCAATGTATGGTTGTCTTTCATGTGTCCCCTGCTGGGAACCGGCCTGCAGGGAACCGGCCTGCAACCCAGGCACGTGCCCTGACTGGGAATCAAACTGCGATTGTCTGGTTCGGAGGCCCGTGCTCAATCCACTGAGCTACACCAGCCAGGGCTACTATTTTTAAACTTGATTTTCAAGTAATTTTAGACTTATGGAAAATTTGTAAAAATACAAAGAGTTCCCATATATAATTCACCCAGCTTCCTAATGTTAGCATCTTTCATAACCATAGTACCATTATCAATTAATATTGATATATTAATACTAATTAAACTACATGTCTTATTAGATTTTCACCAGTTTTCTCATTAACACTTTTTCCAGTCCAGTATACAATAGGATCCCACGCTGTATTAAGTTGTCATGGCTCCTTGTCTCCTGTAGTCTTTGACAATTCCTCAGTTTCTCCTTAACCTTTCATCAGTTTGATACTTTTCAATAGTGAAATGCCCCTCCATTTGAGGTTGCCTTGATGATTTTTTCCCTCAAGATTAGAGTTATTCTTTGGGGGGAGGGACGGGGCATGAAATCCAAAGCAGTGGTGTCATGCCCTTGTCAATGCGTCACATGAGGAGATACACAAGAAGTCTTATCTGGTCACACTGACTTTAAGCACCTAAGGTGGTGCTGACTGGGTTTCTGCACTGCTCTACTTTTCCTTTAGTGACTAATAAGTATTTTGCCAAGAGGTACTTTTAAACTATGCAAATATCTTGTTTCTCATCATAATTTTGCACAAAAATTTCAGCATTCATCAGTGCTTCTTGCTTGTAATAACCTATTACTAGAGTGTCCTAATGGTGATTTCCTATTTCCCTCATTCCTTTTACATTTATTAAGTGAAATTCTTTTATAAGTAAGACTTGTACATTATCCTCCCCTCCCTTTGATATATTTATTTACTTATTCACATAAGTACAAACTCATGAATATTTATTTTATTCCACAGACTATAATCCAACACTATGATGATTACACTTGTTGTTCAAGCTTCACTTTCTTCATCTGAGTCAGGGACAATGACGACTGCCTTACAAAACTGTCCGTCCTAAAGAGTAAATAAGAAAATATCCAATCCAGAGCACCTGGTAAATAAATGCTAGCTGTTTTCCTTCTCTTTCTTTACCGAAAGTAAAGCCATGGTAATTTGTAGGCAAAACCCTTCTAAATAGGTGAAGATCTGAATTTAAGAATTCACTCTTAATGTAATGCAGCTTTTCTACCCTAAGGTATATAAACAACAAGAACTTAGCTATCCCAGTGTTGTCTGGTGGAGGTCATTTGGGATCTGCCGGTAATGACTATATAACATTGAAGACTGATTTTTAATCAGCATGCCCGTAATTTGTATGAAAATAGATGCTTGAGAATACTTGAAAACAGATTGTTCTCTTGAGTAGTTTAAGTGTTTTCCCAGAAATCTTGTTTACGTTCTGAAGTTGCTTAGATAAACTATTTTCAGAGATAGTCCAAAGCACGCCACAACCCAGTTGTGGTTCGTATCATCCTTTACTCTGAACTAGTGAATCACTGATCCACTTTTGATTCCCAAGGTTATAATAGTGAATGGAAGAAATCCAAGTTCTCTTCCTCCAAAGATTAATTTAAAATTAGATTTTAAAGGTTTGGGCAAATCACTTTAAGTTCAGGTAGAATTTAAAACAATAGTAACAACAAAGGACAAAGGCAAGGTCCTAAGCTATGTGATAGAATGACTAGATCTGGAAGTTTAAAATAATCTACAAAGTACAATAAAATCCACATATGAAATCATACAGTTCACTGGAACTTTCATTTCTCACCCAGTTTTATCAGTAAGGAAAAGCAAGAATATCAGATTTATTTTAAAAAACAACATTGGGACAGCGTGGTTCACAAGCTCTCACATGGACTCCCAAAGTCTGTCTAAGTCAATTTGAGGTGCAACCAGAAATCTAAATTTTTGTCAGGTGCCAGCCCCCAGTATGAGCCTTACAGGTGGAAGGCAGAATACCACAGTGGTTTGAGCTACGGTTCTTGACAATGTGGTTTTAAATCTCACTATTGCCAACTACCACCCTTATAACCTTCAGCAAATGGCTTCATCTCCTTGTGCCTCAGTTTCCCCAGGGGTAAGGTAGTGTTAATGATGGTATCTGTCTACCAGGGTTGTTATGAAGAACAAATAAATGATACACATAAGTGATCGGCATGACAGGACTATATGGAGATCAGCAATTCCTATGGACAATGGATCTTCCTTCGAGAAGCATGTCTGGGCACAGAACTAATTGCTTGGGGTAGCCTCTAACACTTTCTGCACCCACTGTGCCTTACTATGGTCACTGACATTTGTTTTACATCTGTCACCAGGGTAATGATTGGCAGGCTATGGAGACTTTGAGGTAAACTGCTATCATTAGAAAGTGCTTAAGTAACAAAGACTGATTGATCCTCTGTCAGTCAAAGATGTGAAACAGCAGAATGGGAGTAGCCTCTTAGCATTTAGGTAGTTTATTAGATGACTAAAATAGTAAACTACTACATTTGTGGAGTTAAATCAACCACCAACCAACAAGTACAGAGACTGAAATTTTGTGTTTTAGTATTCAAGGCAAAAGAAATTAAGCCTAAAAGACAGAAAATGTGGAACAGAAAACTCTGGGTTTGAGGATTTACTATGGAGGAAAAGTGTTCTTTAAGCCCAAGAGCACAGCACCCAGGACCCCAGCCTTGCATGGAAACCTGCCTCTCCTCCTTCCTGTCCCCGTCCTTGCTCCAGGGCCACAGTGTGTCAGCCATTGGCCCTTTTCCTCCTAGTGAGTGACCAGACCTCTTACAGTGCCTCCATCCTGTGTTCCCAGACTTCAGTCACAGTTGTCTTCTTTGGAACTGGTTTCTGGTAAGGTCTCAGAGGCCTTGGAGGAATTTCCTTGGGGATGGGGATCTTGATGGGATGCAAAGGGCAGGAGTGGGGTGATTCATTGCCTCTCAAGCCCACGTCCTTCCCCGCTCTCCTGACCCAGGTATTAGTGTTTAGTATCTGCTGAGGCAGCCTAAGGGTGGGAGAGGGGGATAGGCTAGATGGATCCCATGGCCAGAGATCATATTGCCCAAACTCAAAATTGAGATATAGGGCCTTAAAAGCACCAGGGGGAGAATATTTGAATGGACCCGGGGCGAATATTTTGGCAAGGGAGGTGATAAAGGGTGAGGACTGGTTGTCCAAAGGGTGAAGGCATACAGACTTGGTAATGACATGGGGTAGAGAGAGGATCACTTAGGTTTCAGGGTTAGTTAGAGTGAAGCGAGAGGGAAGATGACAATGTGTTGCCTATCTCATTGCCTGGAAAGAAAGCAGCCATCATGGAAGTGTCAACACAGACAGGTAGATGAAATGTCAGTAACAGACCAACCTAAAAGGAGAAATATGTCTAAAAGTTACTTACTAGCAGTTCTTACAAAAATATCTCAAAGTGGCTTCTTACCTCATTAAATCTCATTACAAGATCTTCAAGGGCATTGTGCTCTCCATTCTGGGAGTTAAGAATGGATGCTGAGATGGATGCTTTGAGGCAGGGCAGGGACCTCTGACACTCCGGAGTGCCCAAGTTCTGGGTCAAGAAGCAAAGATAGTCAACTGGCAAGACCCTTCGGTAAATATTCTGCTCCTGCTCCATCAGGATACTGGCAACTTCCTCAGGAAACTGGATGAGGGGCTGCAGATCAATCAGTTCCTTGCTGATCCCAGCTGAACTTGAAGGGAGGCCACTGGAATTGGCCATAGAGGTGCCTGGTTGGCGTTCTGAAATAAAGCCACAAAAGTCATGGTCACATTATGGTTGGTATTCCTTATAACAGAAATTACTAGGTTTCTTTATCAAAGTTTCTACTTGGTGAATCACTCTATACTATCTTTTTTGTTACGGAAACCAGACATCTGCCCTGCCTGCTTCCTCCTGCCCTCTCCTCACCCTGGGGCTGGGGGTATGCATAGTTTCCCATTTTCAGAAGCAAAACTGATCTAGCACACTGTTCCCTAACCAGTTCACTGATACTTTGCAGAGCAGTAGAGAAGTAAAATGTACCATTTGCCTCCTTATCCTCCAGTGCTAACCATCAGAATGAAAAGAAAGGTGACAAGAGTATGGGCACAGTCATTGAAATGGAAGAGGAAAGAAGGCTGTAGGGGGAGGAGGCATGCACATATGTGTGAACATGTAGGGAACCAGGGACTCTGCATTTGAGGTTTCAGAACTTCATGGTCTACTCTGCGAACATCCCACTCTCAAAACTCTGATTCCACTGAGATCCACTTGAGGATTTTCAGGGATAGAACCACTTATAAAAGTAAGAAAGGAACAGGTAATAAGGACACATATCTAAATAAAGAAATCTTCTTCTCTGGCCCACAACTGGTAGTAAGAAGATGGCATGGGAGAGAAAGTGGAGAGAGGATTTTACAGAAGTATCAAATGCATCTGTAGACTCAATGTTATTCCCTCAGCACAAATTCACTTTGTTTTGACCACTACCTCTCCAATCTGTCTCTTAATTTCCTCCCCATATCATTCAGTCACCAGCCATCCACCAATTCATTCAAAAACTAAAATTCTATGATGAGTATTAGAACAGAATTTCCCAAAGTATGATAAGTTTTGTGGCCAGCTAAGTTGGGCAAATGTCATATTCTTGTCACAAATTCTATTCCTGGAAATACACGAGACACATGGGTACACCTAATTCAAAAACACGATTTTCTCTCCCTCTCTCCTTCCCTTCCCCTATAAAGATAAATTAAAAAAAAAAAAAGATTCAAAAGGGTCTGCCAGTAAAGAAATCTGTTTACATTGCTTAACTCAGTGTTTCTTCAAGGCCATACTTTATGTAACATCTACTATACCATTCTGCATGACTAGCATTGGTTGGAACCACTTCAGGAAATGCTGCCTGAAGAGACAGCATTGTCCTGAGGGACAAGCTGTTTTTCCTCTCCATCCAGTTCACATCTTTTCCTTCCTGGCAGGTCCCCCCTGGCCAGCCCTCCTTCAAGCTTCTTTTCCCGGTACTTCATATTTGAAAGTAGTTAAAAGTAAGGCAGGTGCTCAAATTTATATGGCTTAAATGGCCTCACTCTTCAACTTTGTGAACAGTTTACAAAGTGACTGGATTTCCTGAAAATTGAGTCAGAATGTGGTCTGATGACAGACACAGACTACAGTTTCTGAATACAAATAATTTATGTAGAAGGAATCAGCCATATATAGGAAGCCTTCCCAGAAGTAACCAACTCTAAGTCATGACTTCAAAGCACAGCACTCTGTGAAGAAAATAAAAGTAAGTGCCAAGTCTTGTGAAACTGCTTATTTAATATGAAAGAGAAGAGATAATATAATAAAATATGTACATAATATAAGATAAAATGATATATAATAAACTATAGTATATCCTGAGATATATCACATGCTGTGATAATGAATCACATGCTGTTATAATGAATAAAGAGTCCAGTGACTGTTGGGAAGTAGACTTCAAAGAGCCCTAAAAAAACTGAACAAAAGAAGAAAAAAAAGCCTGGTCAGTATAACCCTAATAAATGTAGTGGCTCATGTGTCTCAGTATGAGCATGGTATCATACTCAGAGGAAACACAAATCTGATGTCAGAGCCTCTAAACATAATGTAGACCTTCAGTGCAGGTTTCCTTAAAGCAGGATTATTCTGGATTTTTTTTTATCATTCAGATAAAATCTGAAATGATTTTAGAAATCTTCTTGGACATAATTTTCTGTCCTCCATGTTCCATACTTTAGTAGCTCAAACTCAGAAAACAAACTCAGAAAAAGAGATCAGATTTGTGGTTGTGACACATAAGGAGTGGAGGGGGGGGAGCTGGAGGAAGGAGGTCCAAAGAACAAACTTCCAGTGATAACTAAGTACTAGGGATTTAATGATGACTACAGTTAACACTGCTGTATGATACATATTAAAGTAGTTAACAGAGTAAATCCTAGGAGTTCTCATTACAAGGAAAATATTTTTCTTTTTTCTTTTTTTGTTGTATGTACCTATATGAGATGATGGATGCTAACTGAACTTAACTGTGGTCATCAGGTCACAACCTGTGTAAGTCAAATCATTATGCTGCACACCTTGTTTGGTGATGTATGTCATTTATATTTCAATAAAACTAAAAAGATATTTCTCACTTTTTCTCATTCTTGCTGACCTCTCCTTATAATTTCTTCCTTCCCCTCCACACGACATGCTACCCCAACTCTCAGCCTTTGGTCACCATCACCCTTCCTCCCTATAATATGGGCAACTCTGCAATAGGTTAAAGATCCAGCAACTCTATGGCCCTGGATTCTTCCTGATCAATTGGGCAAACTTCATAAAGCCCACTGAAAATTTAAATTCTGTTATTGTGAAGAAAATTTAGAAAATTCCTGGTAAATAAAACTATCCAGTTCGTTTCCTGTCAGTGTTTGCTCTCAGCCCCATGCTTTTCAGTTAATAATTATTCTACAGAAGAAGGGCTCCATCTTTAGACACTTTCACACCCAGAAATGTTTACAATGAGACATAGTATCTTCAAGTTCTAATTCTCTGCTCAAACAATAGCTTCCTGAACTAAGTGCTTTAGATGGACTTCAGGAGGTAGGCAATGGCACTCATTATGCAAGGCTCACATAAGGTCACATAAGTAGTAAGCCAGGGAGCTGGTGTTTGAGTCAGGGTCTACTTCACTCCAGAGCTCATGTTCCTGGCCATTCAGCATATGGCCTGTGCAGCAACAACACGCCACATTAACATTCTGATTTTTAGATGCAACACAAGTGATTTTAGTTAGTATAAATCAACTTCTTGTGCTTATTTGGAGTGAACTGATAAATGAACTCTTCAAACTCCAAAGGTAAGGATTTGATCCCAACACACAGAAACTCAGAAGTGCCCTCTTCTTTCCTTCTTACTAGTTTGTAAGAATGTTCACATGTTTTAAAGCAGTATTTGCCAAAGTGTGATACACTGAATTCATGCAAAACATGGTTCCTTAACAATTTGGAGACATACTAAGCTGAACAAAATCAAACTCTCTTTTTCTAGTTTAACTGCAGAACTCAGAGGCTTTAATAATTCTCACAAGGGGGATATAGTTTTATAGCTCTCCTCAAAGTTGTGGTCTGTCTCTATATCATTCACATGGGAATTACACTCCCTTCACACTTTGGTCATCACACTCAGTGACTCCAAATGGGGGAAACAGGGCCTAAGGTGTTCATGAGGTTAGCTCATTTCAAGGAAGCTTAGTCTGACATGTTCCTGGAACCCCATATAAAGGTCTAAGGATAAAAGAGGCTTATTTAGAAAACTACAGGTCATTCTCAATGGCTGAAGCATATTTCAGAGAGATGGAGAATCACTGTAGAAAAGAAGGAAGAAAGCTTCATTTTCCAGAAGGCACTAGAATACAGGTGTAGCTCACAAAAAAATAAAGGCAGATGGGGGTAGCAGGATGGTCAAATCATATATGTGAAGAAATATCACCCTAGAGTTCTGGGTCTCTGCTTGGACCTAGGTAATCAGCCAACCTCGAGCGAGGGGAATTTGGACCAAGTCTTCTCTTGAAGGATGCTGCTCTGACAGTTGTCCTCTCTTGCCATCCCCACAGAATCCTCTCTTTTCTTGCTTCCTTCCTTTCTGGTGATCAGAACACCCCTGATCTTGTCCATAAGCTGTCATTCCCAGAGGTTGTTCACAAATTGTACAGCTCAGAAATATCCAGAAAAGCCTCTCTTCTTGATGATAACTTTTCCTTGATAATTGTTCACTGACTGTCCTAGGTACAGTGCCTTTGGGGAACTCCCTTCCGCAAAACTCTGTCCTCTCCCTTGGGGTTAGCAGTTGTTCAAAGATGCTAATTTACATCCAACCCAAAGGAAGAGGCTCAGGCTTTGGTGTCTCAGTCTCTTTCTCTCTGTCTGTCTTTTGGTCCACATCAAAACGAAAAGCATTTGGTTTATCTTGCTGTGCCTCATGAAAATCTAGAGTGTACCAAATAATCTCACATGATTTGCATAATGTTAGGGAGTCATGACAGAAAGGCATTGCTAATCCTCATTTTTATAAAGCTTGAGTTAAACAGCTACATGACTCGCCCAAGGATCCAGCTGGTGACTGGTCAGCCATGGAACTGGCAAAAGTTGAGATAGAACCAAAAGTTGAGATAGAGTACTGGCGCCTGGCCCAGTACTCTGCAGTACCCCAAGCCCCACCCAGCCCGAATTATCTTGGGTGCGCTCTGTATCCAGAGGCCAGCCTTATTTGCTGCCAATACATCTGAATGGGTTTACGAAGAGCTAAGTAGAAATCCATTCATTCATTTACTGAGTGCCTATTATGTGCCAGGTTTTGTTTCAGGCTACACTGATGTTGGAATTTAGTGAACAAAAAAAGATAAAGATCCTTGTTGATATAGAATATTGTAGGAGAGGAAGCAGATAAACAATAACATAATGTGAGTGCAGGAGGGTGGAGGTGGTAGATAGATACAGGTGGGGAAGGGGCATGTTTTGCAAAGCATGTATTAACTAGAATGCTAGCAATTTCCTCAAGTTTTTCTGCAAAAGTTTTCAAACCATTACCATCCAGGATGCTTTGGATTGGCCATCTTGACCCTTTTCTAGCATCTTAACAATAGCTACTCACCTAGATCTTGCACCTTACCATTTGTTAGCTCTTTGCATCAAATAACTAATTTAATTGTTACGAAGAACCCTGTAAAGTAAGTGTGTGCATAGCAACA